GAAAAGGGTGGAATAGAAAGCTATTATTATTATTATTATTATTATTATTATTATTATTATTATTATCTGACCTTGTGTTTTTGGAGAAAGTTTACTAGGTGATGCTTGGCACAGATATTTGCTGGCATGTTTTGGGGGCTAAGGTTTAAACACACTGAACAACTCTAACATTGTCAAAATTTCAATCACAAATCAACCACCGATTTCACTCTGCAAAGTCTGAATATATGTTGGCATCAAGGATGGAATTCACTTATAGAAAAGTCATCATCATGTCATCGCAGGGATTCCCAAACTTTGGCCCTCCAAGTGTTTTGGACTTCAACTCCCAGAAGCCCCAGCCAGCTTGGTGAACACTCAGGAATTCTGGGAGCTGAAGTCCAAAACATCTGGAGGACCAAGGTTTGGGAAACACAGAGAGTGGATGTATTCTACTGATAGCAGCAAGGCAGAGCTATACAGACCGCACATTCATCTGTGTCTTGCTTTTGCAAGTTGCACATTGTGCGTTGTGGCTGTGCATCCTATGCTTTTCATTGCAGTTATGCATCATACACAATGGCACTCTGTCATTGACCTGTATTGTGAAGTTTTGTTGTTTTGCATGGGGATCTATATTGTGCAGTGCTGCTGTGACATATATCCGTATGCAGATATTTATTCTACGCTAAGGAGATGAAAACCAGTGTGACGTAGGGGTTTGTGCATTGGCCTAAGACTCTGGAGTCCAGGGTTCGAATCCCAGCTCGGCCATGTAAACCCACTGGGTGATCTTGGGCAAGTCACACTCTCTCAGCCTCAGAGGATGGCCATGGCGAACCCTCTCTGAAGAAACTTGCCAAGAAACCCCAGAAAAGACTTGAAGGCACACAACAACAATAACAAAATCAGTGCTTTTCTCTTTTTTTATTTATGTTTTAAATCTATTTTAAACTGTTTTAAAGTTGTGTTTTTAAGATACATGTTTGAGTTTTCTATACTATTAGTTTCGTTGTTGTTGCTGTGTGCCTTTAAGTGGTTTCCAACTTATACCAATTCTGAAGCGGACCGATTATGGGGTTTTCTTGGCGAGTTTCTTCAAAAGGGGTTTGCTATTGCTATTTGCACTATCCTTTTTTAAAAAAATAAAACCCTTTGATGCTGCCTTTGCTGGCAGAAAGGCAAATTTTAATTCAAGCAAACCAACACACAAATAAATTTTGGATGGCCATCTGTCGGGGATGCTTTGATTGGGAATTCCTGCATGGCAGGATGGGGTTGGACTGGATGGCCCTTGTGGTCTCTTCCAACTCTATAATTCTATGATTCTGTGAAATTTGTCTCCCACTCCCATCCTTTTATTTTCCAGATTCTATGAGAAGATCCAGGATCTGCACCAACGGGTGGGCACTACGGTGGGCAACCCTTTGTTGGCATATGCCCTGATCAAGA